AAAATTCCTGACATTTTCTTGGCCTTAGAAATTAAAATCACATATCTATTTTGAAAAAAAAATCTTGAAAAGTGTACTGCAAGTGTTGGAGATTTGAATACACCCTTGGAAAGAAATAGAAAATGAATACATTTCGGAGAAAATTAAAAAAGACAGGAATTAGTGAACAAATATCTAAGTTTTTTTCTGAAATCAACTGCGAGAACTTTTTTTTTTGTCAAATTTTAAGAAAAACAAATTTAGAAGCGATTCAAATATTTGTAATTTGAGTTTCTTTTATATTCAATTATTTAATGCAAAGAAATGAAATCGAAGTTTCAAATATTAGAATTCAATATAATGAATAATTCAGTAAGACTTCTCAATTTTTTTGCAATACGACTGAACTGAGAAAAAAAAAAAGAATATTTAAGCATTGAAAAATTTCATTAAATGATACAAACAAAAAGTAATCGGTCTAATCTAATTCAAGATGAGACATTTCAACTAATTATTTAACACAAGATAATTAAAGACGGCAATATTTTTAAGGAATAACAAAAAGCAGAAAACATTTTTTTCATAGAATTTTTAAAAATATTTATTCCTTTGAACCAATTCAATATTCATTTTACTAAAAGTAATTTTTTTTTTTTTTTTTTGAGTTTTCAGAACCAGAAAATGAAACAAACCCTTAATCAACAATACAAGCAAAGGAGAGATATTTTTCTTAAAACTACTTATGAAGACTATATAAACATCCCTTAAGTTTTCATCTTGTTTTTTTTTTCTCCGAAGTATTATAAAAAAATTGTAACTATGTTCTTCGTAAAAATAAAAACTTGCGAAATTATGTAGAGTTATACCCGTTAGAAAATTAAGGCACGATTATCTTATAGACTGTACAATCGGAACATGCTTTCATCAAAAATAATTTTATGTATTATTACCAATTTCCATAAAAACTGTGTTGTCACATAAATTAGTAGAAATGCATGTTCTACATATTTCCGAAAGTAGAATTTTTGGTGACAGAACGATGTAGCTCGGTTTCACCCCAATTTTGAGGGAGAACAACCTGGGGGTGGTCAGAACCTCCCACCTCTCTTCCCCTTCTACCAACCTCACGAGAGGACTTGCGGCTAGACGGGTATTTAAAGTACCCCCATGCCACGAAGGCACATAACATTAACAAACATTCATGTTTTTTCCGGGATTCGAGTCCAGGCCCAAAGGCACAGCAGTCAGCGTCGCTAACCACTATACTGGAATGGACGACGAATTGTACTCTTAATAGCAAAATGTTTTGGAAATAGCTTTGTGCAGATGCTTTATAAAATTGGATAAATCACAGAAATACATTTTGAGATGGCGCATACAATTTTTTCGTAAAATAAAAAATACTGAAATCTACAGTATTATAAATTTTTTACGAATTTATATTCTCTACAAAATAAATTTTTGTTCTAAGCATAAAAATTATTACTATTCATATTTTCTTGCGAGTTAATGTATTCAAACGAGTATATTCTTATGTAGATCGGGGTTCGAGGATTTTATGCTGTCAGTCTCAAAGAGTAAAATAGTTGCTTAAGAGCGATGATAATTTACTATAGAAAAACAATCCTTAAAATACAGGATAAAGTAGTAAAATTCACACAGAAAGTTCCAGAAGGTTCTCACTCTTCTCCAGCACTAAGACACCAATGGCGGTGTCTAAAAATACACATACGTAGCATTAAAGTTTATTTGCAAGTGTGAACTCTTCAGAGACTTCTGATGTTACTGATTTCTCCAATAATTTCTAGATTCATCATAGGGTAGCCAAGTCACCAAATTTAATCACAAAAACGATTCTAACTTGGCTGTATTACCAATTTTTCACCAAGGTTGCATTTTTTTTTACAAATTTTTTCTATTGAAAACAATTATAAAATCCTCGTGCACCACAAAGTATCACATGGGGCTGGCTCACAGAAGTATTAATCACACATTACAAAGGAAAGAAGGGAAAAAAAATTGAGGTTATGAAGGATTACAAATATTTACAACAAATTCACAGAACTTTTTAAAAGCACTTCTGGTGGAAATAAGTTGGTGAAAATTCGGAGGCCAATTTATATTAAGTCCCTTGAAAGCCAGTCTTAGGATCTTTCTTTCTCTGACAAACTTGGAACAGAGAAGGAGCACATCTTCTACATTTTCCTTGCCACCAATATTACAATCACAGGAAGATGACGGAACTAAATTAAATTTGTTCAAGTAGCTTTTTAAGTTACCATGACCTGTGAGAAATTGGGTTATTTTATAATTAGTATAAAAATGATGGCATGACAGAGAGTCTCTTATTAATGGTTGGAAAAAATCTCTTTGTTAAGCTCCCTTTATTTGAAATGAGATATTCTTGGTTCCAAGACTTCACCATTGTTTCTTTCATAATCTTGTAAAATGATTTAGGAACATCAACGGCAATGTCAGTTTTGCGCTTGGTTACAGCCTTTGCAAGCCAATCGGCCCGCTTATTTCCAAGAACGCCCGTGTGTCCGCGAACAAATGCAAAATCTATTGAGATGTTTTCATCTTTTAGGCTTTAAGTTGCTTTTAGACTTCGACGGTTATGTTGTTAGATGAAGAAATACACTTATAAGAGAGAATCCAAGGAGGGAAGAGAGTCGGTACAGGTGAAATAATCTGATATGACTCTATTTTGTTCAGTGATCCATTTAATGGCGAAGTTTAAACATAAAAGTTCAGCTACAAAAACTGTGTATTCATGCCAAGGTTGCATTTTGAAAAGTCATTATGATGTAAGTGACGGCGTTGGTTGCGAATATTACAATTTTTATCATAAAATAAACACAACAGAAAGTAATGTGAGCATCCAGAGATAAATTATTTATATTTTGTATTAATTACACAAAATTCGTAACAATATTAATTAATACTCCATTTAAACGACTAATTTTCAGTAAGATAGATATTGGTGTCTTATATGAACCTTTGGGGGTGATAGAAAACTGACCTGTTTCACTTCTGCTGAGGGAGCACACCAGTTCTGGAGCTCCCTTGAGGAAAACCTCGAAGTGGTTGCTGCCTTGACACTTGGCCACCACGCTCATGCGCCTCAGCAGAGATTCAAAGGGAAATTGCCTCACCACTGCGATGGCAGCAGAAGCTGGCTAGACATAAGACAAGGAGTATAATCGTCCGTAACACACACTCACTCTTTTCGAATAGTTTGGTTTATTAGTATCGAAGCATTTGCATGTAAATTATAGTTAAATTATAGTGTGGATATCATTTTTATTTTACTAAATATAGGGCTAAATATTATTAAAAAAGCAAATAAAATAAAATGCAACATTTAAATATATATATTATATTTTGAAATGGAATGCATTTTGGTAGTTCAGCCTTTGAAGACACAGCAAGTCCCCGAATGTGAGAGCCATTTCATTTATGGCACCATGTAGTGGCGGCTCCCGCTACCAAATTTTTTAATACTTGAATTTATTCAATTCAAGCTCCCATCGAATGTTAAATGACGCCATGATTTAATTTTGCGGAGAATAATAGAGCTAATTGATATAAGTATAATTTAGATATAAGTATATTCTCTTAATAATCTATAAACGAGAGACAAATTTAAATATATCAAAATTTAAAGGATCTGTTGCATTAATTTTCCCACTCAGAAAAATAAAATCAAAATATTTTTAAGAAGTAAAAATAAGTATATTTGTTATTCTAAAATTTTCCCTTGAATAATCAATAATATTTTATTTGTGCATTAAAACTTATTCATAAATATTACGATTCATTTCAAATCCTGGTTATTGTTACCAAGAATAATTTAAATAAATTCAACTTGAATTATCACTAAATAAAAATACTAACGTAGTTTTAATTAATGTATAGCATCCAAATATACCTGATGAGGGAAATCCGAATTTTTCGGATATACTATTCGAGGAGGAACTTTCTCGAAAGGTACTTGATCGCCAAATGACGGTTCTTCAAGATCCTAAATATGAAAAAAATATCAGATATTTAATATTTTGAATCAAAAAAGTTTATGTAGGCAACATTTTACCCTTAAAATTTTTAATTTAAATTAGTTAGAATTAATTTTTTTCTTTTTTTAATTCTATTTCGAATTACATGGAAGAATGTAATTAAAAATATGTTGGATGATGAACTGAAGTTCTTGAACTTGCAATTCTTTTTCATTTTTCCCGCATCTCTGTTGATGTAAAGTATCTGGCAACAGATTTGTTTTGTTCTGATTTTGCAGTGTTCTTATTCGAATCGAATCATGGAATAAAATGTATGTTGAAACTTTGTTCTTGTGGAATTTTTAATGCTAAAATTCTTATTCTATCGAAATTCTATTTTCTTAATGATTCATTCAAAACTATTTATTTATTCATTCCTGTTAGATTCATTAGATGATTTTTATTTTAAAATTTACAGTCCGCTAATTATATTTAAATAAGAATCCACATATCCACAAAATACTTTCGCCAAAATATCTTTTATATTTTAAATAAATGTATTCTTTTTTGGTCTCGTAGAATTTACTACTGTAACTTTCGCGA